GTTCACAATCAAGCAGAGTTCACACTTGGTCTTGCGAAGTTGCGTGGGTCTCCCCTTCTTCCCTTCCAGAGTACTGGATGCCAGAAGCCAGAAGCCCTCGCGTTGCACGAGATGGAGTTGCATAGATTGTGCTGTGAAACTGCAAAACCATTCTAGCACGGACCTGCAACACTGTTGGTCTTTCCTTCGGAGAAGAAAACGTCGCGGCTCCAGCGCCACATGGCCAACAGCAAGCAAAGCCACCAACAATCGGACCAAAAATGCAAGCACTAGAAGGGAGTAGACCCGAAGCGGTAGGGCGTAAGGACTAAGGACTCTCAATGCGGGGCATCAGAAAATAAAAAGTCCTTGAGAAGCTCTGCAGCAAATTCGGCACACGCGAGCAGTTGCAGGGTACCATGGAGCATGCCCCTCTAACAGCAAGCAAACGACCAGCGACCCGACCAAAAGCACACAGTGGCAGGAAGAACACAGGAAGCAGCAGCACTCTCAAGGCTGCAAGCTTCTGTTTTTGTTTCCCTTTCTTAGGTATCTTGCGGGGCCGTTCCCCGGGAAAATCACACAAGTCGGCCTCCCCCCCCCCCCCCACCCCACCGCAATACAAACTCAAGCCAAGTTTCGCTAGCTTTCGGGATCCAGGCACTTGAAAATCCCATCCCCAAGCCTCGCTCTGGAAGAGGTGTTTGCCCAAACCACCAGCCACAGGAGTGCCCAAAGGCCTTGGCAGCGCAGAGGCTCAGTGTCAACTGTGCAGAGCCCATGACTTAAAAAGTCTGGTAGTCGGTTTGCTCCAGGCTCGGGATCCTTGTACTTGAGTGCATCGAGTGCTCAGAAAGCTGCCAATTCTTTGATCATGATTGTGATGCGTGCCCGCACCCAACTCCAACACTTGAAACATACCGTACCAGTTGCTTCAGCTTGGCCCGGTGATGTTTGCAGGTTATTGGAGTGTGGGACGTCTCTGGGGCCTCTTTCTGCACTTCCAGGCGGCCATGCCCGAAAGCGCAGGCGACCACGGCAGGCCGCGCAGAGGTCGTCAGACCTTTGATCATGAGAAGGAGTATGGATGAGCTAATCCCAAGTCCTGAAGATTTCTCTTCAAACGCACTCTACACCATTTCTGGGTCATACAGACGGGGCAAGTTTTTGTCCTTAGGGCGTTTGGGTGATGAAACGCGAGATGCGCAACCCTCGCGGAAAACAAAAACCACCTTCGAGCATCGGCTTGAGCTGCGTGCAAGCACCTTTGCAATAGCTACTGCAGCGAAGGGACAATGGCAGGGCCCGGCCGACGCGCAGGTCCCAGAGCCAGTCCATGCCCCACCGCTGGAGTTTGGCCAGCAGCTGGACTTCTGACAGCGTACAGCCTGCGGACCAAACCTGTTCGCAAGTGGAAGGCGAACATTGCTCAACAGACTTTAACAGACCTGAAGTAAGAGACTAAACAATGTGACGCTATCGAGGCGAGCAACAGCAGCGCTTGGCAATTGCGGGTACTCCATAAACTGCAGCTCAGCATTCGTGGGTCGCCAATGGGAGCGTCTCAGAGCCAACGGGTCCCGCATGTTTGTCAATCCAGCGGCGCCCCCAGCACAGAGCGCTTCTTCCTAGCAAGGGCGGGCGATAACATCTCACCACGGATTGGTACAGTCTAAGCTACTTTGACTTTGACATTCCACCATTTCCGGCTTTGCCTGAGGCTCTTCTAGCGTCGCACCCGCAACAGTCAACCACCGACGCTCCAGGTTGTCTTGATCGGGATGGAAGAAGATCACGATGGAAATGCGTCCATCTGCCACCTTCGGCATGGCTGGCACGCCATGCATCTGAGTTCCAAAGACAATCATATCTCCATGCTCAAGGACTTGTGCTCGGTTGTCGACCAACAGGACCCTTGGAGCACCCAAGGAGATCAAGCACGTCCAGTAGTCATGCCGATGCGAGTTCAATTGCTTGGTGCCGTCTGTGTACAAGTTCAAGACCACACGGGCAGCTGGATCGCGGATGTTCGCCTGCAGGTCGTAGATTACGCACTGAGTGGCGTGCCACCTCAAACCTTGAACCAAAGCGCAGTGCTTAACTTCGAACTCCCGTGCCCTCAAGACTCTCCCAGACTTCCCTGAAAACGCAGGACCTTGGAAGCTTTCTTCGGGTCTTGCCTTGGCAGACGCCTGCTGGAGTAATTTGTCAAGCTCGGGGATGTCTGGCCGGTCGGCCACGAGTCGCGAAGCCGGGATCGTGCGTCCCCTATGGTCGAAGCGGAGCACTAGCTCCCCTGTTTCCGGGTCACGCATCATAACCTTGCCCTGCCGCCAGGCCACCTGGTCAACCAAGGTCTGAAAAAGGCTCGCGTCTGGTGCAAACTTGCGAGTGATCTCCAAGTCCCTAAAGCCTTCCAGTGGCGTTCTCTGGAACACAGAATCCTGTGCACCGTGCGGCCTTGGAAGAAGCCGTGGTTCCTGCCTCCACCATCTCTGCACCCACTTCTCAGAGCGACACAAAGTCGAAGCCACCACTGTTTTTTCTACACCCCGTCTTTGGAGGTCAATGGCCTTTAACTTGTCCTCGTAATCTCGGACAGCTTGGCTTGAACTGGAAGCAACAATCTCGGTCCCCTCGCACTTGACAACTGATACGGTGCGCTCACAACCATGGTCAATATAACAAACTTCCACTGACCCGCCGGCTTGCAAAACCATGAGCTGCACAACCACGGCAGATCTGTAGACACGTTTTGACTAGGTACCTGTGCTCTTACGCCTTGACTAACAGCCCGTCTACGCCAAATACAGGCCAGTTCTTGGCGTTCTGCCTTGTGCGGCCCTGCTGTAAGCTACCATTCTGCTACGCGAGGAGCAAAAGCATGACAAAACACTCGTTTCCATCAGCCCTACATGCATGCTCGAATCACAAATGCACCACCGTTCCGAATCGGGTGTCTTAGGAGGTAGGGTGGTTAGGATTGTAGAAGGATTGCCCACGCAGACAGACAAGTTGGTTGGGAACAGGGCATCCGCAATAAACAAGAGAAGGAAACACCTCCGAACCTCTAGCCTATGGGGCTTGATGCTTGAATGGAGGGGCCGAATAACCCAACATGCAAGGATTGATTGCTGATGCTGTTGTGAGGTACGCTTAACATGTGATGGTCGCGCGTACCCTATAACCCTGCCAGTGGGGTGACTGCACTTTCTGGGTTTACGCTGCAAAATCGTAGCTTGCTTCATGGAGCGAAACCCGGGTTGTTGAGGTAAGGTGCCTGAACCAGAAAAGCATGGTATTTACTGCATATCCCTATTGGCTTGCGATCAGGATTGGGTAGGCCATAGTCAAACATTGGAAAGCCTGTCTAAACGCCTTACTGTGACGAGGATCAAGAACTTCGTCAACTTGAACTGTCAGGCCCTAAAGCCACACAAACATCAGGATCCTAGCTTTTGCGTCCCTAAACCCTAAAACCCCCATGACTGTGAGATCCTTATGTATTCGTGGCCTGCTGGACCCCTCAACCCAGTCGGGAAGCTTTGCGATATCGACCCGTTCGCGCTGAACGGCGACGAACCTGGAATTAACCGGGGGGTGTTGCAGCGATGCTATCGTCTGCGCTTTGGCATTTTCGGGATCTTGCTTTGTACAGCTGCAAAGTTCGCCGTTCACGGGCACTCGCAGTCTTCATGTACAGAATACCTTCAAAAACCAACCCAAAACATCCACAAACCAACAAAGGAACAAATGCGCACCACGAAGTCCAGCCCTCACCCTGAAATCCCAAAAGCAACAAGCCTGAAGGAGTAAATCCTTAAACCCGGCCTACCTCGATACCTGAAAAGTTTAGGGTTGAGGGTTTAGGTACTCTTTCCGATAAACACTGTAAACCTTCTTCGAGCCAGAACCCGCAAACCCTCTCAACGAGAACTCGTTCACTATGGCCGCTACAGCTGCATGGACTCCCTTCCAGCCTCTACCTTCTTCCTAGGACCCCTGCTGGACCCCTGAAAGGTCCAGACAGCCGAACTCTAAACCCTAAACCCTAAACCCTAAACCCTAATTTGGGACCCTATCCTGCTAGAGGCTTTTTATAGGAACCTTCTTTCCAGATCCTGGTCGGGGGTCTGGGCTTGTGCCGTAAACCCCAAGCCCCAAAGAACCGAAGTCCTCCATTCTACAATTTAAGGTTTAGGGTTTAGGGTTTAGGGTTTAGGGTTTAGGGAACCTCTAACCATTAGTTTTAATCCAGCGCTGTATCTCTCTAAGGGTACTATAAGGGTTCTATCTGGGTAGTTCTCGAAATGAAAGTCCATTCTAGGATCCTCTCCATAAAGGTGTCGTACTATTTTGCGGGACCGAAAGAGGGACCCTAATTTACAGAACTACCCCATCCGCAAGGCAAGAGCAAGTGCTTGGGGCCTGGGGGAGCCGTGTATTAGTAACTGTTCACACCCCAAACCCCAAACCCTATAGGCCCTGAACTCCAAAAACTCTTCAACCCCAATCCCGTTGTCTGCAAATCCTAAACCCTGGAAAACCTTAAACCCTAAACCCTAAGCCCCAGAGCCATGATGCAGAGGCGTCCAACCGTTGGAGGCCGCAGCGTCGATCTCGGCGCCAGCGGCAAGGAGGCCTTGCATTCGTAACGTGATGTCGTCTTCGCTCATTTTTTAGCAGTTTAGGGTTGTGGGTGTGTAGGGTTGGTTTGGGGTTTAGCATTTTTGAAGTGAGTTTTGACAGGAATTTTGCAGGCTTGATACCTTAGGAGTTTGAGAAGGCTTCGACAGGCTTTGTCAAATGCTTCAGGGTTCTGCAGAACCCTAAACCCTAAACCCTAAACCCTAAACCCTAGATTGCAGGTTTAACGTCTCGCCCTGATCAGGCTTCTGCGCATTCTGAACCTGAAAAATATGTAGGGTCTAGGGTCTAAGGTTTATAGGGTTTAGGGTTACCCCTGAAATCTAAAAAGATCGATAAAGCCCACATGCCTGCAGGGCTTCCTGCTCGATCTCTACACTTGATGTCTGACCACACTGTATGGCTTAACAGTTTAAACCCTTACACAAACCCTGAACTAGGTACAAACTTCTACAGGTTGACTTCTGGATTTCAGGTTTGCTTTGGACCCTTAAGCAACTTTAGGGTTCAGGATTTAGGGCCGAAGGTTTAGAGCCCAGCACCTCCCTCAACAAAAGCCCATAGCCGACAACAGGGCCACGCGACAGTCGGCCACGCCCTCACGCGCCCAGGCGGCGGCGAAGTAGAGCGGGGTCAAACCGGCTTTTGTGCGGATGTCTGGTTCGGTCCGGGCCTGCAGGGTTTCGGGTTTAGGGTTTAGGGAGTGTGCTGAGGGATTTAGTTGGGTTCAGGGTTTGAGCTTTAGGATTCAGGGCTGAAGAAACAAGACGAGGTTTGGAAAAACGACCTACACCGTAAGTATGTACGAACAAAAAAATGCAAGTAGCTCTGGAAGCTCCTTATTTTGCGGTGCTAGGGCCAGGAGTTTACGACGCAAGGGTCTAAACCATTCGAGGCCACCGAAGAAAACATCTGCCAGGCTAGTAATAATAGTAATAATAGTAATAATAGTAATAATAGTAATAATAGAAGTAATAATAATAACAGTAGTAGGCATAAGAAAGACCGCTCCAAACCTTTTCTTCCCTATAGAGCCCTAAACCCTAAACCTTGAGGGTCTAGGTGCTCCCGTCACTACTTTGCCAAGAGGGTCCAGAGTATAGGTATAGGACCGCCTTTGGTGTCCACGTCAAAAATACTGGTTGAGAAGAGAAGGGTCGTAATCCTTAGAAGAAGGCTTTGGGGTACATGATGGTGTAATCGGTTGCAAACTTATATGTACATATTATGTGCATATATAGCGTAATTGTAATCAGGAGCCCTATCCACCCCATGAGGGCGGCTCCGACAATGAGGCCCAAACCCGAAACCCCAACCCGAAGGGCCGACCTTATCAAAACAGGCACCCTTGAGTTGGGCTTTTGGAGAGCCTTGGGTTTAATACATAAGGGCCTTGTTATCTAGAATAGGGCTTTGGGGCCCCTTATACTATAATTTTACAGTGAGGAACCACCAAAATAGTACATCAAGGAGGGCAGGGAAGGCCCTGGGTTCAGGGTTTGGGGAAGGCGCAGGGAGGGCGCAGAGTTGGGGATCGAGGAGTCAGGGAAGGCTTAAACCCTAAACCCTAAACCCTAAACCCTAAACCGTGGCTTAGGGAGGCCTGGCCTTGGGCTCTTGGTTTTTCCTACAACCCTATGAGCTCGAACCCCCTAAACCCCTACACCCCCTAAACCCCTAAATCCTGAACCCCTAAATCCTGAACCCCTAAATCTTAAACCCTAAACCCTAAACCCTAAACCCGAGCTCCTAAAACCCTAAAAAGCAGCTCGGGGATGTAACGTGGGACCTCCAGGAGGCAGCTGACGGCTTGTTGCAGGCCATTTGCAGATGCAATGTGCAGAGCGTGCAACTCCTGGGAACGCTTTCGGAAAGTTCACGGCTTTGGGATATTTCTGGGGTTTGGGTTTTAGGTTTTAGGCTTTAGGGTTTAGGGGTTTGGTTTAGGGGTTTGGGTTTAGGGGTTTTGGGCTTAGTTTTCAGGATTTCGGGTTTAGGGTTGAGGTTTAGGGGCTTAGGGGTTCAAGGTATCAGGTTTTGGGTTGACACGTGATGAAGGCTCAGATAAAACTAGGCTTCAGCGAGAAACGCACACCCTCGACCCCACTTTCAAGCGCTCTCGAACCTGACATCGCCGATGCAACCAGAATCTGACGCAGTCACAGCCCGTTCTGATCGCAGGTAGAGCCCGGAGTCCTCTTGAGAGTTTAGGGACCTCTGATGAAGAACCCCCCTCCCTGTGCGGGCCTGAATAGTGGGATCATGTAGGATCCCCAAAACGAATGATTACAATCGTCCTAATCTTGATATAAGCCGAAACACATGGCACTGATCTGAAACTAAAACCCTGAGGCCTGAAACCTACACCCCAAGCCCAAAACCGTCAACATCCGTACTGTAAACCCCAAACTAGCAAACCCCAACGGCCATACCCCTTAAACACCTAAACCCTAAATCCAAACTTTTCATAGTCTCTGAAATCCCAGATCCCCCAAAATAGAACAAGCCCCTGTGCGGCGCTACAAAACTAAACCCAATGCCCCAAACCCTAAACCCAATTCCGGATCCTTCTCGGCTGACTTCGCCTTGTCTACACCCACTCTCAGGATGCCTCGCTGTCGCGTTGCGTTCGGCTGTTGCGCCAACGCGTCTCGTGATCATAGGGCTTTAGGGTGCAATGTAGAAGCCTGCATGCCTCCCCACATACTGTTCCTTAATGTTCCTTAACTTCAAGAAGTGTGCCATACTATACACCATGATCTAAACCCGAAAGCCTACCTGCAATAGAACCTTAAGGCCCGAATCCTGAAAGCAAAGCCAACCGTACGGCTTAGGGGGTCTAGGGTTTACCGGGACCCAAACAAACCAACACTTTGCCTCGGATGTTTATGTATGCATGTGTATATATATATATATATATAATGTAACAAATCACAGTAAGGAGCCGTAAAATTATTTAGGTTCTCAGGATTCAGATACGGCTTTCTGAAGCAAGCCGTGGGCACATTCCAACATCTCCGGCGATCTTCTTTCACATGCCATCTGCACCGCTGCAACCTCACGACCTCGGACAGGGCTTCTGTTCGAGACTTTAACATAAGTTAATGTTAAACGGAATTCCCTCGATTTAAGATAGATCCCTATTGTCGTGACTGCAACCCACAATATTTCCCATACATCCCTATTTTGAATGATAACTTCAGCTAAGTTCCTGAACAAAAGCCCGGTGGAGGGAATTAGACAGATAGGTACGACTAGAGTGCGACTGTTGCCTGCCGTCCTGCATCACTACCAAAGAGGGTCGAGTCGTTACTATAGGTACCTAGACGCATGCCAAAGATAGGGCGGAATTCCGTTTGCTTCTTCCTTTTTTGTTTTGAGCGTTGCCCCTGGCAAATTCAAGATTTAATGCCATGTAGGGTTGCAGAATTACGGTTAGAGGCTGAGAAAACCCTAAACCCTAAACCCTAAACCCTAAACCCTAAAAAGGGATCTAGGGTTGCAGGTTTAGGGGCTCTCTCTGCCGTCTCTGTATGACGGCTTCAAGTCTAGATTGGGATCTTTGTAGAAGCCTTTGAAGAGTGCTTACAGATCCTATCTAGACCCCTGATACTGATAGAACTCTTCTAGAGCGCTTACAGAACACTTCTAGAGCCTAGGCTGCTTATAGAGCTTTCTGGAACCCTCTGTCGAACGCTTAAAGACTGCTTAGACTGCCCTTACAGAGCCTTCTATATATGTGTATGGTTACATACATATGTGTATATATATATATATATAATATACATATATACACCTCTGTATATATATATATATAATATACCCCACCCTAAGCCCTGAAGCCTAAACCCGATAGGGGCCTGGCTTGCGACTCGCGACTGCTCTTCCCCGCATGTGTAAGCCAGGCTGCTCGTGGCGTTGGGATCCGACTTGTACGCTGCAAGAAACAACCTGGGCCTAGGTTTCGGTGAGGTTTAGAGCGTTTAGGGTGTTGGTGACTTTAGGGGCTTTAGGGTATGGGGGGTTTAGGGCCTCAGCTTAGGGTTTAAGGTGTAATCAGTGCTTCAGGCTTACGCGAGGGTTCAGCGCGGTAAAGGGTCCGGGGACTTCGTAAGTAGGGTTTTTGTGCTTATGGCATGTGAGAACTATACCTCCATGATATATTCATAGCCCCGGACTTACCTGAACCCTATAAAGCCTTCCTTTTTGAGGGCTCCTTATTATGAATTCCTTTTTTTTGATCTAAGTCCTTGTTCGTAGGTTATTCGTGCCTTTGGTAGGGTTTAGAATCGAGAACAGTCGAAGTGTAGAGGAAGAGCTCCACTCCTCTTGGCATCTCATTTCCTAGATCCTATGATGTGTTGTAGCCTTGGTGATCCTCTTGAGAAGTAAGTGAACCGTAAGCCCTTTTGGGGTACACTCGCCGTCAAGCAGAAGCACACGTCCGAAAGCTGAAGAGTCATGTTGATAATCATGCCATCCAGGCCCCCGTGTTACCCTCGGCCGAAGTATGTCGAACACAGCTTGGAGAAGTGGACCAGCAATGCAGGGTGTAGTAACAACACTGCTGGTAGTCTTTAAGCCTGGAGTTATATGGGTAATTCTCTAAACTAGGTCCCCTTTGGGGTCCTCTAACAAGGGTGACGTAATATATTGGGAACCACAAACGGGACCCTCATTCAGAGAACTACCCATAATATGATATAGGGATTATCGTAACCTGAGCCCTAAACCCGCAAACCCTAGGGCCGGGGAGCACCATCTTGTCGCACCCGAGCTTGGAGACCATCGCCTTGAACAAACCCGGCTTCTGCTTCGGGTTTAGGGTTTAGGGGCTTTTTCTCTTCGGGGTATTAGATTAAGGCTTCGGGTTTAGGGTTTAGGCTTTGGGGTTTAGGGTTCTTGGAATTCGATTTCTGGTCGCCTAAATTGGCCTTGTCGGGCTGTTCTAGGATAAGCCTTGTTGAGACGTACAGAGGCTTATGCTTGTGTTCTTTGGTCCAGTGTCGTATAGGGCTGCGAGGCAGGGGAACACAAATGTCCACAGGAAAAATATATGGCACCCGGACCAGCATTAATGCAGTGCACACTCATACAGTTGCTTGTGCAATTCGTCTGTGTCAGTAAGGGGGCATGAGTCGTTTGAGCCTTCGCCTATGCTTGCAAAATCCGAAGGCAAGAACTTACCATTCCCACAAGAGCTTGAGGCAGGGTTCAGGTGTGGCTGACAGGAAGCCCTGGAACCATAACCTGCCGCTGCCCCGAAGCCCTCTCAATCTAGCGCTAGCGCAAACAAAACCTACTCAAGCCCTGCACACTAAATCCTTTTCGCTGGGACTGTGGTGTGTGCGCTAGATAGAGAGGGTTTATGTCACAGTACGGGCCAGTGACAAAAGCCACAAGAGATCTGCCGATCAACCCGAGGGCAGAAACTCCGGGGACATCCTCATCCTAAACCCTGAACCAAAAGTAAACCCACACGGTCAGAACAACACCCCTTGCAGTCCCTAGCACCCCCCCCCCCCCGTGCCTTGGACGCTTAGCGTCCATTTGACGCAATAGTGTTTTTTACAAGGAAAATCATACATTTCTGAGCGTTTTCCGCGCTGCGTTCCTCAACGCCTTCCTCACCCTTCGAGTCATATACTTTAGTGCAGGGAGGATGTTGACTGGAGCCAAATAGTTGCCAACAGCACATACTGTTGGGTTTCAGTCTCTAAAGAAAAGAAGCCTGGAACAATTTAGGGCTGGCCGGCCAAAACGGGAGGACGAGGGAATCATCCGGGAATGAATGACGGAAATTCCGGAAACGATGGACTGTGAAGCGAGATGGAAGCAAGACGGAATTATTCGGAAGTGCACGAATATGAATAATCCGGAAATGATGAAATATGAATGACGGAAAATTTGCGGACATGA